ATAAAATAAATTGTTATTAAAATTTTGGGGATGCATTAATATGTAGAATTTTTTAATTTACTAATAGATAACGGAATGTGATATAATTAAAAAATGATCGGCAAATGATCGGCAAAATGATCGACATTTATGTGATAAAATAGGAAAGCCCGCTATGCTTTTAGCATCAAATTTTTTTTCTAAACTAGAACCTTCTAATTAATAGATAAATATACTTATATAATAAAATCACCAAACTCTTTTTTAAAAATTGCATGTATATAGTGAAAACATCTATACTAACATGACATTATAATTCAATTCATTGTTTAATATTATCAGAAGTACTCCATTATTTCATTAAACATTTGTCAGGTCTTCAGATATAGTTATAATGATACAAAAATATTTTACTATACTTGGCGAACAGGAACTGTTGTGATAAGAAAGAAAAAAAAGTCTAATTGACAAAAATCACGTGCCAGACAGACGGACACGTCGATCCTATTGACTTGTACTGATAAGTCCTTCGCTACACTCCAGACAATAAAAATTTGACCCAAAATTTTTATTGCAACACAAAGACACGTATAAGTTAATAAAGTTTGTTATTGTAAATATAATTATATGCTGATCATATTAATATAGTTTTCTAATTTTTTCAGTAATCCGGCAGCAACCACAGCATCACCCAGAAACAAATGGTAGGCGGATTTTATTTGCCGGGTCACATATACTTATTAGGGGTGAAATTTATTTCGAACCACTATCATGAATTATGAAGGTAAGTAAACTTGCAATCAGCAAAAACACATACAGTTTTCAAACCAACCTTTCGACTTTAGCCTTCGTCTCATTTGAAGAGCAGAAAGATCGGTCATATCGTGTGTTCCTAACCTTCTACCGTGATGTAATTATCGCTTCGATAACTTCTTCAGGATGGAACATACATAAAAGAAGATGGGCGTGTCACTTCTGTAAAAAAGCTGAAGAGTTATTGGAGTTATTAGATCAGAATACTTTTGTTGACTCGAAGGAGAAGGTAAACCTTTTATTTTGCATGGGTAACTCCTATTATCTGCGGCACAATAAAGAGAATTACTGGGTTTTGATACTGGTAACAACTCCAGATGTTCTTAAATCAGGCGCCCTAATTTTTTGTTAATATGGTCTACTGATTCTAATAAGGAATCGGTTATGATCTTTCCCTTATTACAAATAAAAGTCGTACCACTAACGTCATTATTCTCACAAAAGGTGAAATCAGAGCGTGATGATAACGGTTTGCGGACGTACTAGAGGAATGTGAGAGTGTGAGTAAATTAATGTTATGAAACATAAGTGTATTTGTTATAAGATTCACTAAGATAGATCTGTTTATTGCTGTGGAATCGAAACGAGATGTAACGGTAACTGAAGATGAGAAAAAGAAAATCATAATCCAAAAAAAGTTGCTCACGATACGTAATTTCTCTCATTTGTCTCGTTCATGGAGATATGCTTTCGAAGTTGATATTAGAAGAACAAATCTATTAGCAAGCTCTAGGACACTATCAGGGAGAAAAATGCACAAAACCCTCGCTAACGTTGATACCAAAAACATTAAGCTATGGAATATACAAATGCCTGATGATCATGACATTCAGTTGAAAAATCCAGAAACGAAGACAAACTCTTTGTTACCAAAAAGATTTCGAAATCCTTTCCTTTCACACCTTCCGAAGAGTATGTCCATGCCACGTAAGTTTTGATAATGTATGTAAATTTTCGATACTCTCGTAATATTTATTCAACATAATTTTTTTCTAGATTTAAGCCTGGAAGTAAAGGAGGAATGATTTATGCGCGAGAAATTTTTTTCTTTAATCGGATCCAATTGATTAATTAGTTAACGAATGGCTGAATATTAGTTATCTATCATATTAGATATTTAACATTTATCATGAATATTCTATTTACTATATCTCGTGACTTAATAGAAACATTTAATTATAATCCCAAAAAAGAAAATAATTAAAGATATTGCCATGTTTTGTACAACATAAAATTTGACAATTAAAAAGTAAAGTTTGTGCGACATATCCGATTGTTGGGAACAATTTCCTTTTTAACAAAAATTTTCAACACATCCAAAGAAAGAACTTATCATAATATTGTTTTAAAGTTAATGATGAATTGCTGATAATAATACCATATTTCCTCAATTAGTAATGCTTGTTAAAAATACAAAATCCAAACCAGTTTTCGAAGCGAAACTTGTCTGAAAAACTACAACGACTACGACAATCAAAAAGACCGTAATATTCCGGGATGGAAGGTGAAATATATATATTTTTTTCCATTAACGTTAATGAAAAATCACTTAAATGAATTAAAAGAAGAGATCAACAACACAAAAGATGAGCGTGTTGAACAATATCGTGAAAATGTTAATTAGCCAGATTTTTTTTAATTGAATTAAAATTTTTGTGAAAAAAATGCATCAATATGTTTGAAAACACATTAATCTAAACAATAAATCATAGACAACGGCAATTGGGCCACGCGCCTTAAATTTACAAATTAACGACAGATCATTCATTTTGGATGTTATTTAACGATGCTTTCTTATATTAAATTTGTAATTTAAAATGCTACACGACAAAAAATTTGAGGTAAAGAGAAACATCCGTCAATAACATTTATTTTAAAAATATATATAAACATTAAACTTATTTAATCGTTTTATAGAAGGATACTTTTTATATGGAGTCTATCATAGGACCATTTTATTCATGATGGACCAGACCTCCTTTTATTAGTAATCCAAAAAAAAATTTTTTACCAAATATGTATGTCGATGAATATGTTTATCGATGCTTTCTCATGATTCAGCGGGACTGAAAAGAAAAGTTCAGATAACGTATGACATAATAGGTTCATTTTTACAAAGAGGTGTACGTTAAAATTTTTTTAACTTCAAATCATTTTTTTTTCGGTTTCTGAAATCATTGCAATAATAGTAAGATTGAAAGTTTTTTTGCCATGAAAGTTTATTTATTTTATTAATTATCAGTATTTAATTACTAATAATTTGTAAGTTATTTTTATTGATTATTAGTATTGATTATATTTGTTATTGTAATTTATAGTCAACTAAATTTTTTATTTAAAAAATCCAATAGATAGTAAGTTATTTTATTAATTATTTATTTTTTATTTTCTACATTTGCGCTGATGGAACTAACCAAACATTCAACATTTGGTTAGTTCATTGCTAGACGAATTTTGATTTTTAAAATATTTACTCTTCTTCATCAATTAGAGCTGAATTATTTGCCATCCTTTTAGCCTTATTAGTCTGCCCACCTAATCACATATCATAAGTTCTATTGATGATAGGTCTCCATACATTAACATCGTACCAAGCCTCATAATGATCTAATGAGAATGCACTTGGATTACGTTCGTATTGTCGTATTCTATAAATAAAGTACACGATAAAATTCGCACGTTATTCATATTGTTTATGCTGTTTAAAATTCAGTATTAAGTACTATACTTACAAACTATAACAGAATATGTAAGCGTTTCAATTTCAAAGTTGGAACTACCAAAGCCAGCATCTTTTATGAGCTCTCTGATTCCCCGTACTATGTTTTTCAACCAACCTTGTCATAATATTTTGTGAGATGCTTGTAAACTCGGTACTTAATTCTGGATCTTCCTTTATATTTGTTGAGTCCATTTCTTCTAATCCAGCGGAAAAAAACACTTGGATCCTCAACATCAATCGTAAACGAATGTATCAAACTATTGTCATTAAGTATGTTAGAATATTAGGCATGCTAATAAGTAATTCTAAAGATCAAATCATTAAACATACCGTTCAGACGTAAAATTTGATGTGGACTCGTACAGAACATCTTCTATTACGCGTCCTGTGCATTGAAGATTCTCATCCTTCATCTGGTTATATTTTTCACTAAAAGATTTTCCGTAAATGTTGATGTCTATATCCTTGAAAACATAATGATTATCAGCTTCTGTTTTATCCAATTAGGGATGCTAATGGTCACGGTCATGACCGGTCAAAACTGTGATTGATATCGGTCGGTCAAAGGCTTCTGACCGACCGGTTGACCGACCATGACCTAATCCAAACAATTCCTTTTCGACTTTCATCCTTCATTATAGACTATGTCCTGTCTTTTTCTTAAAAAATAGGATTCCCTAACTGTGGTTGGCTCGTCCTAAATGACCAATTAAATTAAAAAAATTTTAAATTAATGAGTTTTGCGCAGATTTTTAAAACACGAACAAAAAAACGTTGATTTTACCTTTTCTTGATTTCTATAACATGTGAGAAAGATCCTTAACATAAGGAAGGTGCATCTATAGTAAGATTGCACGATGCGAAGGTGAAAGCATTCTCAGATCGCTGCCCCAGGGCGTAGCACACTCACTACGCTCGTTAATATTTTTATGTAATAAATACTAACTCGCGCAACACCCTTATCGCTTTGATGTGATTTGGCTTCTGTCATACCCACGGCTTCCAATCGAGTTCAATATCTACCTCTAATCGCGCGCTTTAACGCCACAATTTCTGAGCTATTCTTTTATTAGATTCTATGTTATTTACCAACACTTCTAGCTCACAAACTAAGGAATGATGTGACTTCCACTCTCACGCATCGGGAGTTGATTCGGGACATTCTTTGGAGAAAAATTGTTCCTACGTGACTAGAAACACATCTTAAAACATAATAAATTATTAAGTAAGATGGTGTGTTTCTATTGACGAAGTCCCATATAGGTCTTTCCCAATAAGAATATCGAAGTTTTTCGCGAGACTTCCTCCGATAACATAGGAATTGAGTTTTTGGATTGTTGTTAAATTTTTTTTGAGTGACTTTTCCCATAGTGGTTTTGAGTGAAGTGGGAAAGTATTTTTAAGAATAACCTGATATAATTTTTTTTTTTTTTACTATTAATGTGCGGTGGCTAGGTAACATAGAAAAGCGTAGAGAAACAAAGTAACTCAATATGGAGATTATCCGCCCTCTATCCAGTGGTGATGGTATCCTGTATTCAAGTGAGTCTGTTATTGCGAGTATAGCTGCTTCAGGTAGTCTAAGCTAGGTTGACAACCATCTGGGGATGTACCTCTAGGCAAGGTTGCCGATGTATAATCTGTTAAGAATCTTTATTGTTTTGAAAAGTCTCGACGTTTGCCCATTTTTTTTTTTGCGAAAAAAATGATTTCGAATGAAATGTTTTTCTTTTTATAACGAAAATGATACACGGTAAGCGGAATAATCATATAAATAAACTAATAATTATGTAGTAGCATATATTTTTTTTTGGGAACGACTTTCAGAAACGTAAGTAATTTTCCTCTTTTTTTTTCTTTTTTTAAAATTTTTTTTTTTTTAACTTGGCGAGGGCAGAAATGATGTCATTTGATTTTTGGAGATTTCATAAAATCAAATAAGGAAATAGTGTGACTTAATCATGTGATATCATGTGACGAAAATTTTATTACCAAACTTTAGTTACAAGGGAGATCGTTCAAATAAGAAAAACAGTTGCATATCCATTATTTGCATATTTTAAATACCATTCATTGCTTCTTCTTTGTTTTCATCAGTTCCCGTACCGAATTTCCTAACGTCCATTGCGCATCTTTACTTACACCTTCCGCAGAAACTTTATTCAAAAGCACTTTTTTTTCATTTTTTTCGTTCCTATGCCAAATTTATAATAATGGGTAGTGACATTGATATTTTTCTCTTCTACTGAAGTATATAGCAAACAAGTCTGAATAGATGTATTCTTTTTGATTTCGCAGATGCACTGTTCGCAATTCAGCTCTCATCTTTGTTGAATCATAAACGTGAAAGCGAAGATAATCCAACTGTTAGAAATTTTTGGGATAGTTACTGATGCCGAAAATTAAACTTTATAGAATGCTCGTTGGGTGACAAAAAAGGCTGAGGTTCAAATTATTAAAATCAATAATCATTATGTACGATGACTCCGAATCAAGTGGTGAAAAATTGAGAAAAATAAAAAGGGCAAGGTCATTGAGTAATCTTGTGGAAGATTCGAATAATATGATAGGCCTTAGAATAGAAACATCATATATCACAGATTAAGTCCTAATTCATATAATGAATCTTGTAACTTTGTATATTTACGTGGCATGTCATGATATTGTAAACCGCAAAATAACGCATAATAAAGATTTTTTTATATAATATATCAAATTCGGTGTCTATTTTTCCTGAATGAATATCTGGTCGATATACTTAACCAAGTTTCATTATCACGAAACTGTCGAATCAGAACTTGATATTTAACTTTAGAAATATTTTATAGACGACATCATGTATCACGGGAATAAGTAATTACATTTTTTATGTTCCATAATTGTAAAATTGCTTAATGGTTAATTTCTTATCTAAAGGTCATTGTTTCTAATTGAATTGATTTTGAAGGCTTTTTTTAAAAATAAATATATTGAAAGAGGAAAAATAAAAAAATTTTAATGTTAATGATATAAAATATATAGGCATTTTGCAGTAAAAAGGGAGAAACTACCAAAAAAATTTTTTTTTGAGTTAATGTTAAATCTGGATTTATTTTACTAAAAAAATAATATTTAGCTTAGAAAGTAAAAAAATTTTTTTTTGGCAGTTTCCTCCTTTTCTATTACAAAACGCCTATATTTATACTTACTTATCTAACGATTATATCCTATTTTACATAATTTAGATCAAACTTGATTTAGCTGAGATCTCGTCTTTTTATTTCTTAAAAAAATTCTAGTTATACTGTATTATATTAATTAAAATTATAAAATATAATCAAAGAAATTTTATCAAATATTATATAATATAATTAATATAAATATTAATACATATTAAAATTATTATATATTATTAATTATATAATACAACTAAATTATTATTAATAATAATAAATAAATGTAATATTATTATAATTTATTTATTTTTATTTTATAATTAATTTAATAAGTATTAATAATTTATATTTAATCATTATAATTTAATTTATAAATAAAAGTTTATTTAAGTAATTACAAATTGTATTTTTTATAATATTTACTCTATATACAATGTTACTAAATAACTATTTTATAAAAATTATAATAATATAATATAATTATAAAAGAAAATAATATTTAATATATTTATAAATAAATTTAATCATTTTCACCTATTATAAAAATAAATTAATAAATAAATTAAAAAATATAAACCTAATTTTATATTTAAATTACTTACTTATTTCATCATTTTTAATATTTAAAACTTCTATTAAATTAAAAATATGTATGTTAAATTAAAGAAATTATTAAATTATATATATATTATAATAATTACCAATACTTTGACTAATTTCTAAACTTTTAATTTTATAGTCTAAAATTTCATTTAATCTTTCAGTAAAATCAAGTAAACGACTTGTATGAAATACTTGTGAATGATCTTTTATATCATTTAAATTATTATCTTGATTTTGTTTTAATATTTTATCTGCTTTATAAAAATCTATAATAT